CGCTTCATAAAATTATTGTAGAACCACTGTAGTCACGTCGACTGTTTTAACGACGTCTTTAGTACCTTTATGGATCTTGAGAGTTTGGGTGGCATTGCTGTCAATGGAGGCCTCTCTGAGCCATCGGATTTAATCAAACATATCTTAATTTGTGTCTTAGGGGTGTGGAACGACATGAGGGTGAGTAATTAATGACAGAATTTTCATTTTTGGGTGAACTAACCCTTTAATGTGGAAGTTCCCGCCTTGCATTCATATTCTGGGCATCAGTATGTTATACGCACTTGTAATCAGTGCAATGGTTGATGGGAAATGCAGTCCAGGGTGATGTGTAACAGTCTGTGTGGTGTGAGAGTCAATGTAATGGGAGAATAACCTCTAGTGGCAATCGGCCTGAAGCCCACGGAGCGGATTCGTGACACCTAGTATATTAGTCTTTACTGCAAACCTGATAAAAATAACCATTTCTATTAGTGTGACATCACATAAAAACTTCAACTTTGAAACAATGTGTTGCCACCTTATGGACAAACTCATTAGTGAAAAATAAATTTAAGGCACACATATTGAGCATAAATTTACGTCACATGCACTGTGCGAATACCATAGCAAATGTGTAAAAAGCGCCATATTTAATAAACAAAAATGCAAGAGGTGAGGGCTATGTGAACGATGATTGGAAATCTTCAGAGGTTTCTGTGGAGCCCTGCACATGCAGACTCCATGTGGGCGTACTGTACTTACGAGGCACAAACGGAAAAAAGCTGCCTCTGAATGATGATGTCATAGGCCAAGGAGCCTGTGCCGAGTCAGCACGGACGGCAAAGAGCCTGCCGTTGTCATGTGACATTTCTACTGTTGCCAGCCGATAGACGAGAGATGGGGAAAGACGGCGCCACAGGCCGTAACACATACAATCAGCCATTCAAAGGAATAAATGAAAAAAGCTGCCAATTACGGCTGTTCCATCTTTCCGTGAGGACAAATGCTAATGAAAAACACATTAGACTAGATGTTATGTATTATTGCTGAAGGATTTCACATCTCTTCTACCGCTCTTGTCTGGGAGCTATTTAGGCGTAGATAAATAACGTGTGTGTTTGTGCGAGCGCTGTGCATTGAATGCGCTTCATGACGTAATCAGCCCTGAACAGAGAGGACAGATTAGAGAGGAACACTGTGTGCTCTTGTCATAAACCCCTGCACTACCCCTTACATCTCGTTGTGCAGAACACAGGGTATGAAATCAGGTCATGCAGTGTAGAACGTGTGAACATAAGCACATACTGTACATACATGTATCTGCATTCCACTAACATGAGAATGTGGTCAGGATGAAAGCAAGAGCACATCTGCATGTGCGCAAGAATGTGACGTTAATAGGTGGGTGTGTTACAAAGGGTCATTTGCAGCGTTAGGGATAGGGATGTGAAACGAATGATTTTCTGTAAACATGTGTATTCTTCACTTAACGTGAATGGAGCACTAAGCTACACAGGCATATATATTAGTAAAACTGACTAAACGATTTAACAAAATCTTTTGCTTTAGTAACAATTTTCGAAATACAAACAAAAATCTCAATGTTTTATTTAAATATTTGCAGGACAAAGGACAGACTAGTGGACAGACTAGTGACCGTCTCAAGCCGAATATCTACCGCACCTCAAGCCGTTATTATGCATGACATTTGGCAGCGTTATGGTGTCGCCTCAATATCTGACAAGCTATGTGAAGCCCGGCTCCAAGGGTACTGCCACGTCCTGTCACTTTTCATCAATTTATTGTTATTGCTGAATAAAAGCATTGATTTTCTAGAAAAAAAAAATAGTGAACCCAAACTTTGAACAGCAGTGTATAAATAATATTTCATTTCATATTAAATTAATATTAAATTGCAACATTAAATACATTATACATATTAAATTACATAAATCTACATCAACTAAATTCTGTCATAAACCTTAAACATATTGTATAATGTAAGAGTATTTATATAGTAAATAATGTTTAATATTGAATTTTATGATAAATTAAAATCAGTTGCTAAAAGAACCAGAATTGCAAGATTCCCATCTCAGATATCAGATGATTGATGGTGTGTTGAAGCCATCGGTGAGCTGTTCTCTCCCACAGTAATAGTGAGCCTGCTGTTCATTCATACAGAATCCACTACTATCCACAATCACCCACCCTAATCACTAAAACATCAGCAGGCCAGAATCCTTCCTCCCCACTAACCACACTGGGCCTATGAGATGGGCACAACACTGGAACACTTCTTCTAAAGCCTGTTGTTCAAACCTCAAACACATGGGCCTTTAAGACGCCTTCCTGGCAGATCTATAATGTTTAGCTGGCAGGCAGCTTTTTGGTTCTGTGAGCCTGCAGGCTTTTGAAGAGATCCAGTTCTGCTGGAAACAAGAAGTCAAATCCACAGAGCACAATGAGCATCTGGATGGGCCGGGCCGGGCCAGGTCAGCTCAGGTCAGGTTTGGAATCTGGCAGTGGTTCTAATGTGAACTTACCCTAAGCTGCACTGCCACAGTGACCGGTCCACAACGCTCCAGTCTCTGCAGGAAGGACGCCGCTCCCTTCTTCTTCAGGAGCTGCAGAGGCAAAAAAAAGTAGACTGTTAGTATGTTAATAAAATAAAATAAAATAATAAAATAGTAAAAATAATAAAAAAATTAAATAAAAAATCTATATATTTTTTATTTATTTAGTTTATATATTTTTAATTAATTTATTTTTACCCATCTGGCATCTAACTAAATAATTTTTATAAGTAATTTTTGCTTAACCCTGTAAAGCATCACCAAAAAATAAATAAACAAATAAATAAATAAATTTAAAAAATAATAAAAACATGACTAATTTGAATATTAGGCCTATATTTGATACATTTATGGTTCATATAATATGATATATTGAGAATATGGAGCTCATACTCGAGGAAAAAAAAACACCTCAATTTTATTCAGAGACCCCAACTGAATGAATTAATTAATTAATTAGGCCTAATTAAGTATGATAGATGAACATGCAGTTGCTGATATCTACAGTGGTCTACTAAATACTGAGCATTTTTCAGTTTTTCTTTTTTAATAAATCTGCAAAGATGTCAACAATTCTGTGTTTTTCTGTCAATATGGGGTGCTGTGTGTACATTAATGAGGAAAAAAAATTAACTTAAATGATTTTAGCAAATGGCTGCAATATAACAAAGAGTGAAAAATTTAAGGGGGTCTGAATACTTTCCGTACCCACTGTATATGGCCAGTAAGATGAAATTCTGATAGTTGTAATGCAAATCAAGAAGATTTTATAACACTTTAGCAGACTATTTTTGTAATGCATATTAATGTCAGTTGTCACTCAATATTTCCCAATAATATGTCTTAACATGATATTTAAATTCTTATAAATACATTCTTAAAACTCTGTCGTTTTAATTGTGGGGGCAAAACATAACACAATGCTAAATGTTTGACAAGAAAGAGTCCAGATATTTCGTTGTATCAACTATTTTGTTTTATAATAATAACCTTTTGTAAAATGTTTTGCTTAAAGCGTGCTTGTGTTCTTTCTTTAAATTAAATGCCACTTGCTTTCATATTTTGCTAACACAATGACATACATGGGTTTTAAGAATGGCTTCGGTGTTAGTGAGGCTTCTATATATCAGGACTAGAGAGGGGAAGGAAGAGATGTGCTCTAGATGTGACTATTCATCTTCATGCCCTTTTAAGATGATGTTGGCATGGCAACAGAGTTGTACAGGAGCTATGAATGAATCATGCAAGCGCAAACAAACACACAAACACAGTAATATACACCCAGATTTCTGTATTTTCACCCGAAAGGGAAATACTGACAATATTTCTGTTAAAGGTTGACTGTGTCTATCCGTTTCCTTCGTCATCAGGTTATAATACAAAGCAGCACAGGTCATCCTGGTAATCCTGATACAGTACACCCTGTACTTGAATCTCTACATGGACTGTATTCAAGTCATTGGTGGAAATAACCCTCTACATTGCGAGTAAATCACTCGAGTATGCGACTAAATCTTACTCTGGGCGACTAAAGTGAAATAATGTCTAATATTAGCCATTGGCAAATAAATTCTTAAATTTTACTCGCCAGTGTGTGTGTTAGAGGCTAATTACAAGTTTAGCACAGATATATTTTAACTCGATAAACACGCTGACTGAGCGCTTGAGAGTTTCGCTCTCCGTCAAGTGATCTGTACTATTTGGATGTGCTCAATGGATCTAGTCATGTACTCAATTGATGCACAGCGTACCTGTATTTGACGCACCGTAAACTCTAGTGTGAAGGCGCACGACTCGCCGTCGCTTTGCTGATAGCGTTGTTTCTCTTGCACATGCAAAGAGAGAACGCGAGAGACTTACATACCCACACTGAATCGACGTGCTACATGCAAACCATATTCTCTGTTGTATTTTCCTGTCAAAATAACGGAGTTCATTTAGAATTATTCAGCTTTTAAGAACAAGCAGAAGATTTGCCAGTTTCTCCGGTAGTGGGCGGAGCTAATGTGCAAATGGCAATCTCATTGGCTGGCACTCATCTATTACCGTCCCTGTTTTGATTTAAGCAAATCAGCTCTAGCGAACGCTGACAATGTGATTAATATTCAAGAACCCAGCAGATAATAGTAGTAGTAGTAGAAGTAGTATTATCTTTTAATAATAATTACTACTATCTATGACCAACAATATCTTAAACATCACCACCAGTCCTGAGTTCAGTTAAAATGACAAATATGCATTCATACATGGTTATCAAGTTTTAGTTCTAATCACTAGTTCTATCACTAAATAGTGCTTAATTATCGTAATATCATACTATAATGTTTGATTGACTGATGTTAAGAGTGTACATTCATTATTGTGATGTTAAGAGTGTACATTCATTCGTTATTTAAGGAGCTGTGCCATTTTACAAAGATAAGCTGATTGGGTGGAATCGTGTGTGTGTGTGTGTGTGTGAAAAATAGTATATCAGTCTGTCGAGTAAACTAAAACAATTTATAAGCCAATGGTGATTATATTGCCAAGGTGTGCGTAGAGAGTTGGGAAAACAAGTTCAAATGGTCTAAATGCAGTTGTTCTCAATTCCAGTCCTCGCGTACCACCGCTCTGCACATTTTGCATGCGTCACTTATTTAACACACCTGATTTAGACAACCAGCTCACTAGAAGAGAGCTCCATGCATGAACTGTGTTCCGATTGACAGGGTCCCTACACAATGTTCACGGCTCTATACTCCCTGAGCATGGGAAATCCGTTAAGGTTTACTTCACTTCGGAACATTCATTCACTTGATTTGTGCTACACCACTGTCTGCAGCGTCTTCACACACAGACAAACCTTACTAGAGAAGTGTGAAGTACGTAATACAACTCTGTAAATAAATACAATTTAAATACACGCCTCACACACTTTAATGCCCTTTGCATGGAACAAATATGCTCCCTTCGAACTGGAATCATGGCAGAATATCCTGTGAAGTCCACTTCGCAGGGCACTTACGGTCAAACAGAGCAAACGTTTGAAGTGATAAGAGATACATGCTAAATGTGCAGAGAGGTGGTGCGCGAGGACTGGAATTGAGAACCACTGGTCTAATGGATCTAGGCCACTACTACAAAAGCAGCTAATTTAATTTGAACTAAAGGTGACTCAGGAACTGGAAAGTTACGGACTTCACAGTTCGGCTATATGATCATCGTGCCCCTCTAACCCTAGAGGGAGTCTGTTCTGGGAAATAACGCACAGTAAGTCACTCTAGATTGAGGTGGCGATTTAATGATAGTTCACCTATGATGGTGTGTCTGATTCTTTGTCTTGATTATTTTGACTCATACAGCTTTCATTCTCTGTTTTTGCCAGGTTTCTTTCATGAATAGAAAGTTCAGTAGGACAGCATTTATTTAAAATAGAAATGATGAACAAGAGTTCATGTGATCTTGTCAGGCCTATTTAGAACCAGAATCAGATCACATTAAAAACTAAAAACTAGTTAATTGTAATTTAAATCTTTACCAATCTTTGTCACTATCCTTTAAAATTTAGTAAATTTTAGAACGATCACTTATTCTTACTTATTCACTTATTCATATATTTTAATAAGCACAGACCAGAATAAGTATGTTGTTGTATGTTACATAAACATATCCGTTATGCTAAATAATGATAGAACATTATTTCACCCATATTTTGATATTTTATTGAAGCATTAAAGTAGACACTTTACTTGCATTTAATATGCTTTCTATGTATATAAAATCACTTTTGTAAATTTATTTTCAAATGGGATCTCATATTTGACCCCTATTTAATTGTCTTTACTTCACTTTTAATCAATTGAATGCATCCTTCAGTATAGCTGGTTTTAGAATCAAAATATTTTTTTTCCCTAGTGTCATATGAAAGCAATTAAAGGTGATATAATATTGTTTTAAAAACAAAAGTAGTTCAAACTGTGCAGTGTAAAAAGGGACAATTAGTTTTTTCCCTGTTCTTCAAACAGCTGTTCTGGTGGGAAAAAAAGGCCAGACACTCATGACACGGCTCACTCATTTAGCTACTCAGTAGGAAAGAAAATTATTATATTTCGCAGCAAACTGCTGCTTTAAATCATAATCTCTTCGGGGTGCCCTGATTCCCAGAAAACACCGCTACCACACCAAATCTACTAATTTTCACGACACACAACAAAAGAAAGAAACATAAAATCTGGTGCAACTTTTTCATCCAATTTCTCTCATCAAAAGGCAAACCAAACCAAACATTCATTTGTGCTTTTCTGTTTCAAGCCACAGCAGGATCTGATTATGTTACTTCATATTGCTGTCCCAGCCACTCTATGGGAACTGAAATACTGCTTATGTAAGAGGGTAAAACCAGGGTATGTGGGTAACCAGGGCTGCCAGCGGCTCATGTACTGGGTGTCTTACATAAGACTGAGCCAATCTCTCTCTCTCTCTATCTCTCTCTCTCTCTCACTCACTCACTCACACACACACACACACACCACAGCACTGACCTGAATATAGACAGAAGAAAAGGAAAGGAGAGATGGCATATATGATTAAAAGACAGAGAGGAACTGAAGAAGGAAAGAGAGAATGGAAGTGATGGTCAAATGTGACTTATAAAAGTCAAGGGTGAATCTCAAGAACATGTATCGGTCATATTTCACCTCAGAATCATAATAAATAAATAAAATGATATTTTGCATAAACAAAATGAAGGATTATTTTGAATCATTATGACCATTTGCACTGACCGCAATAGATTTATGCATGATGGAAATTCAACTTAAAATTGTCTTATATATTACAGAACTATATAGTGATATTATATTTTCCATATTTTCCAATAACTCAGTGAATTCATCTTCATCTCATTTGTCTGTAACTTAATGGATGCAAAAGATTATTTTTAACACATTAGTCAGTGTAAAAATTGTTGTGCTGAATTATAACTATTAACAAAAGACTCAAAACGGCAATACCGCAGAGCCCTGCACATGGCATGGTGGAAAAAAAAAGACATTGTGGCCATCAATTAAGAATTTGTTCCCACGCCTTATTAATTCACGCCCATGTTTTATTAATTTGTTCCCGCATTTTAAGTCAATCATGGCCATGTTGTTCTAATTTGTTTCCTTTAGGTAAATTGAACTAAAACAAGATAGCAAATTAGTACAACATGACTACGACTGACCTAAAACAAGGGACTGAATTAATAAAACTTGGCCATAAATTCATAAGGGAATTAAACAAGGGAACAAATTAAGTTATTGAAACAAATCCCTAATTCTTGGCCACGTTTGCACGTTTCCCCCCCCCCCC